GAAGATTCTGATTTGTAATCCCCAGCTTCAACCAGTTCTGAGCATCCACCATTTGTCTCCAACAAGGAAGTAACGCTAGCCTGCGAAAACAGCTGGTCTCTCCTCGCTCCTCGCCGCTAGGGACGTTTTCTCTGCGAGGAGCGAGAAGAGACGGCTGTTTTCGCAGGCTAGGAAGTAACAGAAGTGGTGAAATGTTATTTCTGACGAATTGACTATTTTCGAATTCCCCATAATACACTCTGTTTGCCCCCCAAATTTTGCATAAACCATTGTTTTTAAATGCTCCTGGGAGTATTGCATTTTCCCAAGAGCATTTTAAGACAATAAGTTATGCAAAATTTGGGGGGCAAACAGAGTGTATTATGGGGAATTCGAAAATAGTCAATGAGCCCGCGAAGAAGGCAGAAATAGATATTTTGACGGCACGAGATACAACAGGGCCTGGATACTAGGCCGGGTGCACCATGGGTAGCCATATTGGGGGTATGTAAGGCTGCGTATATCACGTGCACGTCATCTAGGCTTACGCACCAACCTCTCTTTGGTTTTTCTTTAATTTTTGTTTTATTTAATTTTTAGGAGCAACCCATTCTCGATTACAACCAGGGTTGGTTCTCGCCAAGCCGTCCCAAAATAAACTTATTTGCCATTACGTTTTGTCTGTTGATGTTGTGTAGTGGAGTCAAAATGAGTTGTATGTGCACCCTTTCATCATCACTCTACGGAAAGCCGCTAATAGCGGCTTTCCGTACCTTTACCTTAAAGGTAAAGAGTCTTGCAACCCACCCTCCCAACCTATGATTATTAGTCGAGGTTGATCCTGTTCGTTTCTACTTTTCGCCACCTGTTTTTGCCTAGCATCATAAGGCTTGTCCCAGCCTAGAGTGCTTTCCTATTCGATTCCCTATGACCATGAATCCGGAACTACCCGAAACCGGAAATCAAATCCTATTAGTAATCCCATGAGGCTTCGTGAGCCCATTCACTTCCTCTTGTCTCAGGACATTATACGTAGAGCTTACATGACATAGTATTCCCCTTTCCAAGTTGGTCGACATATTCGTCGACATGTCCTGAAAACAAGAATTCAAAATTCACCAAAATAACAACGATATGAGTAGTTATAGGTCTCTACTGTTGGAAATGTCCAACAGTTTGACCACTGCAGACCTGCAGAAGCTTAAATTCCTGTGTGGAGATGTCATTCCTGCCGGTAGATTGGAGACAATCAACAGAGGGTTCGACCTTTTTGGCGCTTTGGAACAACTCAACATGCTGTCAGAAGAGCACAGGGATTTCTTGGCGTCCAAACTGATTGCTGTTAACAGAAATGATTTACGAGACAAACTCTTAGGAATACAAGGTAAGTTATAGCTCAAGTTAGTAGTCTAAATAGAATTTTCTATCATAGTCCGGCGAATGAATGGCAGCATTGTGCATTTTATGATAAAAGCATGAGACTTGGCACGCTAATACTAGAAATAATGAGAAACATTTTAATATTTTGGATTTAAAACAGTTTATTGAACTTACACCAAAGCTATATGGCATCAAATATCATTGAAGGTGTCTTGGAGAGTTTGGGCGGTTGTTTCAAGGTTAAAACTACATAATTATGTAAATTATGATTTCCCCCGGGGCGTATTCCAACCAAACCCTTCACATTCTTGGGAAAAGATGTTTGTGTTCATGCTAAAAAACGATAAAAAAAATACAAAAACTAAGTTATATACCACAGGAAAAAATTGTGAGATTCCAAAATTGGAAAAACATTGGAAGATTATCACAAGTTCAATTGGAAAACCAATATTGGAAAAAGAGATACAGTTTCCAACATTGGAAAGTCATTTCATAGTTTTCCAAGGTTGGTAGTCTATCTTTTATCAACCAAGGTTGGTAAATGTAAAAAAGTCCAACATTGGAAAGAATATTTCCAAGGTTGGTAGATGTAAAATGAAAGTCCAACATTGGAAACAGCATTTCCAAGATTCGTAACTGTAATGATAGTCCAATACTGGAAACACTTTTTCCAAGGTTGGGAAATTGAAATAAATGAGACCCCAACATTGGAAACAGTCTTTTCAAGGTTGGAGAATAAAATAGAAGTCCAATATCGGAAAAAAAAACATTTACAAGATTGGACAGTCAGTAATTTAAACGCCTAACACTGGAAGCATCTTTTCCACTATTGGCTAATCAGGCCATCTGATAGGGTGCGATAAAAAATAAGAAATTGTGCGATATTTTCAAGGTAGATTGTGCGATAAGATAGGACTACAGTGCAGCTCAGAGATAAACGTCCAAAATTTTGCGTGCGAAACGTGTGTGCGCAATTTGCGTATACGCGTCGGCGTCTGAGTGTGCGTGCATTTCCAATGCGTCTGATTAGTATGTATGAGTTAGCTTATTGTCTTCTTTTTGTTTTATTTTATTGTTAGTTTCAGCAGACGTTTATTGAATCGAATCTTCCGCTAAGTATTTTCACATCCGTTATTTGCTAGTTCTCTAAATTAAAACTGAAATGTTTCGATTGAAAGAAATGGTTCTAGAATGACGTCGTATACACTGTATTGGAAAGCAAATCGATTCCTCCACTTATCTCAAGGAATGTCGATGACATAAATTTATGAAGTGTAATAACTGTCAGTCATATGGCTACATTGAAACGTGAATGTATAAATAAGATTCAACGTGCAGAATATCTGGCGCCTCGATAAACATCTCTCTTTGAAGTATCAGAAGTATAGCTTAAACCAGCAATTGCTTGATTGCCAGCAATCAAGCTACCATGGTGAGACTCAGAAAACAAAATAATGGCTATTTTATAGTGTCGGGGTCGTGTTGCACTGAAACAAACACAGATGGAATTTATTCACTTTCCAAGAATCAATGACAAAATGATCCATTTTAGGTATGAGGTGTAGCTTAAACGAACAAATCTGTTGTTGTTTTTTTAAAAATTATTTGATTTGCCTCCATAAGATCTTATAAAGTTTGAGCTACCATCATGAGACTTGAAAGTGTCGGGGTCATGTTACACTGAAATCAAACACAGATGGAATTCATTCCTTTTCGAACAATCATGCAAAGTTTTGTTTGAATATAAACAGAATACTTTTCCATTTTAATCACTCTTTTTATTTTTTAGAATCGGAGATCTAAATAAACGTTACTGGTTTGACACAAATTAACTTTTATGTGGTTATTAAATAGAAACTTGCTTGTGAAACCTGTAGCCAACACTGACAGCGCTAAATTTCTGCGAAGTGAAAAACAAATCTCACCAAGCCCCCAAACACTACAAACTTTGCTTCGCCGCGCCGCCAATGTAACATGATTCTCGAATTTCACGTTGCCAGCCTAGCTCGTGATTTACAACACAGACAAGCGTAGAAAGTTGCAAAGACCCCTGCAAAGACATACAATCGATGTTTTTCAAGGCTGTGTTTAGACAACAGCTTAATTTGCAATCAAAGCGTTGCATTACCACAGAATATGCAAATTCTCTCTTGACTTTTGGGTGTCATGGGACTTCGACAACAACGCCACTGTGCAGCATTCAATTCTCATCTATAAACTGCTATTAACAGTCTGCTGTGACTTCTTTCAGAAATTTCGCTTACGAGAGAGTTTTTGAAACAGTATTTGACCGAGAAACAAATTGGTTATTTAAAGTGGTCGCTTACGAGAAGTGGCCACTTTGAGAGAGTTGACTGTAAATTGTATGTGAATCTCGCATGCTGTTTTCTTTATTGTTTTCTTTGGCCTTATGTAGCCTGATACACTTCCAGTGTTCTCAATGAAACTCAATGCCTAGTGCGTGATCTACAACATAGGAAAGTGTAGAAAGTTCTAAAGGCCATACAATCAAAATTTGCAATAATTACGGTCATGGTCATCGGAATATACAAATTCCATGGGACTTCAGGACTTCTGAGTTATTAGGGAGCGTTAAGCAAATACTAAACTTTGATAAATTCGAGCCGCCACTGCATGGCTTTCAATTTCCTTATCTAAAACTGATAGTAAAAAACTGCTGTGACTTATTTCAGAAACATGTTAACTCAAATGCTGCATGGATGGGCGATTCTCAGCCAAGATTCAAGAATCGAGTCGAGATTGCAGTGAATTTCATTCGCCATGAGTTTCATTGATCCGTCCGAAACTCAAGGCATGTGTACATTCTGGCAGAAAAACAGATATTTGTTTTGGTTAGAAAAGAGTAGTCGTTCATAGTCATTTGTTTAGCCAAACAATGACACACAAAGAAAATTAATGGCTATGAATAACAAAGGCAAACACGCACGAGTGTCGCACGCGTGCGTGTCCAACAGGTATACGCAGAAATGGTGCGTGCATTTTGCGTGTGTGTTGGTCGCTTATCGCAAAGCTGCACTGAATTATGCGATAAATTATGCGATTTTTTCAGGGCTAATTTACATTGTTTTACCAGGTTTCAAAGGAGAAAAACCACTGTTATGTTGCTTAACAGGCAATTTGAATGTAAAAGAATAATAAAACATCTATTTTAAAACAAAATAGTTAAATTGGTTTGATTATTTTGACCTGGAAAAGAAAAAGGACACTTGCTTAATATTACATGACACCGTTACACCGCTGACCACACTGCTTGTCTCTGAACTCAAAATGGCTGCCCAGATACCGCGATCGAAGGTTCAGATGTCTTGCAAGGCTTTCTTTAGTGGTAAATCACCTTAAATAACATTAAGATTGGGAAAATGTTTAATTAACGTTAGAATTCATTATTTACTTTACTTGAATTCAGCATTTTTTCACAAATCATGCGATTTTCCTCAAATTGTGCAATCGGAAGCGATTTGAGGTCAATAGACCCTTTCAAGGTTAACGCCGCCATTTTGCTGGGGGTGCAAAACTACTGGGGCGAGCACGCGGCCAAGCATAAATTGCAAATGGCGACACGGCTGAATAATTTCTTGTTATGCCAAAACACACTTGTTGTGTCGTAGGATTTTGCGATA